TAAATAGTCAGGTATTGCATGTTTTAGAAATTCTTGTGGCACACCGGTTGAAAATGGCTGTCCTGGAGAATACCTTGCTAAACTTCATCACAAATTCCCTCATATCCTTATGCAAGACATTTACATAAGAACTTTGGGGAATTCTAACAATCTTGTCTTTTTTTTAAGGTGAAGTTTTGAGGCACAAAATAAATATTTTACAACTTTCCAGCTGTTAGTTACAGCAAATATGCTTTCAGGCAAACCTGAGCAAACAGTGAGGTTTGTTATATAATTACCTTAACAAAACATCCTAATTAAAGGCCAATCCATGAGGAATAGGAGTATTTTTCTAAGTTACTGTTGATTTTCAACTGCTTAAGCCAAGCAGAGGACACAAGAGGAAGTTTGGAAGCCAACGGGGACAGAATTGCCCTCAGCTCTCCGCACAAGGCACTGTGTCTGTTCAGCTGACCCACAGGGCTCAGAGCTATACCACCCAAGGAGTAGGTCATTCCCTTGGGGTTCACCAGGGGACTCCAAAGCAATGGGGGCAATGCTATGCAATGCAAGGTACCTAGAGAGGGCTAACACAGCAGTTCCTTTCCAATGCAGAGTTCTTTGGCTACAGCAAAGAATGCCTCCTATTACAGATGGTTTTCAATGCCTTCTCCATATCCACAATTTACGAAAAATCAAACAAGTCTAATACCAAAATTTCCTATTTTGGAATGTTTAGAATTCAAAGCTTTCTAACATTAGCCATGAAAGCTTTGGTAGAATTCATTTATATCTCATTTCATGATTTAAACATAGACATGAATATGTTTAAATGGGATGAGCTGAATCTTTTTTTAAATCTCCTTAATATACATACATATAGCAAGCCATCAGGCTGAGTTCTTTTGGAGCTCCTAGTGACCACTTCTGAAGTTGTACACTTGTCCAAACATTATTAATCCCTATCAAGAGTTATACTTTTTTATATTTGAATAATACAGATATAAAAATGAGAAAAACAGGAGGGAGGAAGATAAACTGAAATCCTTTTAGGGGAGTATCTCAGTGCAAAGAGACCATGAGTCAATAAATTAAGAAGGCCTTAGGACCATATATGTCTGGCCCTCTTAATTTCTTACAGCAAGCAAATCACTGCTTTACAAAGCAAGTGAAACATCTCTCTCCCACAATCACAGAGTTAAATGTCCTGAAATGGCTATTAGTTTCCATTTTGTTTTAAAGGTGAACAATCTCAAATCATAACCCGTAACAGCACTATATGCAACAAGTATCAACCCTGCTTGCTTTTTATTAGTTTTTATTTACCTTTTTAGCTGGCTAACATGTGCATTGCTGGCAAAGACAGAATTGCCTAAGCAATTATCATCCAGGTCAAGAAGTGGAAGAAAAGGGACACTATTTGATTTGAAATGTGTTGGAATGTATTAAGATAATTGACTGGTAAATGAGTAACATTTGAATGAATGAGGGTGCATTTTTGAACCAATACTGGCAAAATAACTTTCCTAAAGACATTCTTTTGGAAGAATATCTACTATGCTGTCTCAAGCACCTTCCCTGTAAACCTAGACAACTCCCATTCCCTGAAGTTACTAAGTCAAGGATTTGTTTTCATGAAGTCTTTTCATTCAGGGCAGCCATTATCTGTTTATCCCTCAAGAGAGCTGTTCCTATCTCTTTCATGTCTGTACTCCCCATGACTTGGCGCACTCAAGGTTCTTAATTATATTTAATAATAACTGCATCACTACTAAAATAAGGAAAAGGGAAGGAGGAATGCTGCATTCAGAAGAGGGACATTATTAAGCCAGGAGCATGGAAACCTTCCAACAAATCCAATTAAGCAGCACTGATTAGGACTCTCCTTATGAGCACAGCCTAGAGATTCTTAATCAAAATAGATGTGTGAATTGGATTATATTAAGATTGCATGGATACGAAAAGCATGCAGTTAAATAAAAGTTTTGTGCCATCCCAGGAGCTGTGGTATCACATTTTAGTTTCACTTAGATTGTGAGTCATTCCAGTGGGGGAAAGAGCACATAAGTCAAGTGGAGAGCCCCATTCATCCTGGGTATTTTATGGGACCTTCAGCACCTCTGCTCCATTTATCTCCCCTCCTTCCAGTAAGAGATATAGTCCCTTAGTTTGGGTAAACAATATGACCTCATTTCTTAGAATCTTTTGCCTTGAATCACTGTCTCTTATTGTCAAAAGGTCAGTTCTAGAACATTAGGGGAGGCTTTTCTCTGATAACCTGCACTGGACATTCACTCACAAAACCTGGTCTTGAGTCTCAGCTCCACAGATTTTTACAGACTTTAAAAGTTATTTCTCAAGTAAAATAGAAAAATAAGGCATTTGTATAGCTTTTCATAACTGTCTTTTTATTCTTTAGATAAGATAGATCGTATCTTTAGGCCCATCTATCCTGGCCTCCTTGTCGTACTTCTGCCACCAACTGGCCTCCCATCTCAGGATGTTGGTTCTTACTGCTCCTTCTGCCTGCAGGGCTCCCTCTCTCATTGCCTTAAGGTGTGTGCAGATATTTTGCCTAATCAGAGAGATCTTCTCAACCCCCTATGTGAAATAGTACTCCCTAATCATTTGCTATTCCCTCTACAGTGCTTTATTTTTATTTAGAGTATTTACCACTCTCTCCATTTCCATAAAATGTATATTCTTTATTTATTGCTTTACCCCTAAAATACCTTAAAATAATGCCTATCCTATATAGGCCTTCAGGAAGAAACACATGAATAAATAAATACGTAAGTTAATGTTCCCTAACCTATTAGTGAAGGGTAGAAGCTTTGTGAAGTACGACTGTGTAGCTCCATAACTTCTCAATTTATATAACCTAAGACAAGTTAAAAAATAAGTATATAAACTTTAAAAGTTATTTCTCAAGTAAAATAGAAAAATAGGTATTGTATAGCTTAAATAACATCTTCTAGACTTCAAGTTACTTTTCCATAAAATGTAATATTACCTCTAGGGTTGTCCCAACTGAGTCGTCCCATGTTTGCCTACTTCTAGTACACTTTTTAAAATATCTCTGCCCGAGTAATCTCATCAAAGTGCACATATAATTAAGTCACTATTTTTTAAAGTCCATTAATGACTTGCTTAGGATAAAGCATATTATTGCTTTAATGACATTATTAGGAAAAAGTTCAAAATCCTTAATTTGGTCTTGCCACATTTAGTAGCTGAGTATCTTACAAATCTCACCACATGTCATCTCTGTGTTTCAGTCTTGATGGCCTTTTTTCCAAGTGTCCAACAGTCTGTCTTGACTTTAGACCTGTATTTACCTTGCCCTCTTCTCTTCCTCCCTGGGTTTCTAAGGCGTGCTTCTGCATAGTTAATGCCTGTTCATCCTTCAAGTCTCAGTTTAAATGCAAATCTTCTTTAAGTCTATTTGCCTATCTATCTAGCTATCCATCCTATAGGTGGGACAATATTCAACGGGGGTTTTGAGCTATAAAATGGCAATTTCTTATGACTTCACCTAGAACGTTTGTCTTTCTTTGCTACACTCTAAGGTCTACAAGAAAAGGATCATGTCTACCTTAGTTATTATTATATCCTCAGAGCAAAGCACAGTGCCTAAAGCTTAGGAAACTTCCTATTAATATTCTTTGAATGAATGTGCAGTGCCATCCCAGTGATTATCATTGTTGTGGAAACAGCACTTGTTGATGACTTTACTGCTGCCATAATTACTCTGTAAAACCTGATCAGTGACTGTATTAAAATCACAAAGGAGGGTAAGTTATTTAGAAAGAGAAGTAGGGAAAGATCAAAGGGGAGAAAAATGAGAAGGGTCTGAGAAAGAGGAAGGAAGGACAGGCTTGAGAAAGGGTGATGCTAGAAGAACCAGAAAGAGAATAGAAATGAGGAGGGAAGAAGAAGGAATCTAGAGCTTCTACCTTCCACGACGAATAGGTCTAATAGTAATAAGGGAATTTCATCGTCAGTGGTCTTATGTCATCATATTGTCAAGACACATGTATTCATTTTTTTTAATCCTTACTCCAGGATATTTTTTATTGATTTTAGAGAGACAGGAATGGAGAGAGAGAAACATCAATGTGAGAAACATCCGAATGCTCCCCAACCAGAATTTGAACCCGCAACCTTTTGGTGTACAGGACAATGTTCCAGCCAACTGAGTAACTGGGCCTGACCCAGGCCCACATGTAGTCATTCTTCTAGCCATTTCTCTTGGTTCAAATTTTGATTACCTCGCTTTAAGTTTAGAGATGTAACTTACTTCTTTTTTCAAGTCTCATTTTCATGAATTTCTACCTCTTTCACCGTAAGTTGAAATCTCTCTGATATACTTCTGTTTTACTGTTTAGATTTTTTTCTGTTGTTTCCATTAGCCTTTTCTATTGATTTTTATTTTCTTATTTAGTTATTATTTTTATTTCATAACATATTTCTCATCTGCTAATTTTGAATTTTGCTTATATTTCATTTAGTGATATGTGACTTTTATATGAATCTCAATAACATTCAATTAAGCAAATAAGGCAGATTGTCCTTTATATAAAAAAATGAAATGTCAAATATTAATAATCATAACATAAGCAAATAAAAAATATAAATGGCAGTTCTGCAGAAGCACCACAAGAAATTATGCAAAGTAATTATATTTCATGGTTATTATCAGAAATTGTAGTTCCTGTGACAAAAATTTTTAAGGTCAACTATTCAAAATAAAATAAATAAAAAAAAGATAATTTCAAATTATCTTGAAAAAAAAAGTAACTTATTATGAGGACAATAGTTAAAGCATAATTAGTTTATATTTATGTGGCATTTTTGAAGACCCTATATTCATTAAAGGTTTTTTGGCTTTGCATCTAAAGATACAGGAAAAATAAGTATCCCCAACAATGGAGCTCATTAACTTTTTTAAAGGGAGCCTTTGAACTGAAGTAGCAAAGAAGTTAGAAATCAGCATGATAATGGTTGAAGAAGGGCCTTACCATCCAGATCATTCTCTGGGGTCTCCGCTGTGTGCCAGTTGGAAGGGGGTCCCGTGCCATTGACTGTCATGGCTGACACTTGAAAACTGTACTGACTTCCTTTCTCCAGTCCTATGAAAGAGTTTTCCACAAAGAAAAAAACAAATATTGAATAAGAGTATTTCTAGCTGAGTTTCAAAAGTTTTAGTTAAATTTTAACAACTGTAGACATGCTTTATGTTGTTTGTGATTGTTGAGGTGATTATTGTTATTTTGGCCAAAAGGTCACACATATTACAGCAAGAAATCAAATTATTTTTCATATATTCTCATTTATTTTTGTCCAGTTTATAAAAATGTATCCCTGAAAATAGCCTCAGGGTAGATGCAGGATATAAAATATGAACGATGAAGAAATAATCAGAAATAGCAAGGATCATTTTTCCTCACAGTCCAGAAGAGGCCTGCTTATAAATCAAAAACCATCAATCTAAAAATTTATGTCTTCATCACCCATTCAAGGTCAGTGATTATGTTTTATTTGGGCCAAGAAAAAAGAATCCAAAGCTACTGCACTTCAGCAAAAAATACTAGGGCTTTCATCTCTTGAAACCATCATGAGGCATACTTTGCTTTGCATTGCTTCCATAGTACAGCACGACACAAGTCTACCTCTATGATAATTTGCACATATAATAATGTACACTGCAGGCTCATTTTAGAGTTTACAAAGAGTACAGGTAGAAGAGACAGGCCCTGTGCATCATTAGAGTGATATGTGTACATTTTTTATGTAAATAATTTCCCCTTTAGCTAAATTGCTAAGTAGCTCATTAACAACAAATTATTGTAGAACAGATGACACCTGTCAAAACAACATGGGATTTTTTTTGAGATGTTGAGGACTCAGATGAAACAGACAAGTCCTTAAATCTCAAGGTGTATCTTTATCAACAACCCTGATAAAGATAAAAATATAATTCCTCCTCTTCTTCTTAAAGAAGACTCTTCAACATTTCATGTAATACTGGTTTGTTTGGTGGCGATGAACTCCATTAGCTTTTTCTTGTCTGTGGAGCTCTTTATCTGACCCTCAGTTCTAAATGATAGCTTTGCTGGGTAGAGTAATCTTGGTTGTAGACCCTTGCTTTTCACCACTTTGAATATTTCATATCACTCCCTTCTGGCCTGCAAGAGAAAGCAGCTGACAGTCTTATGGGTGCTCCCTTGTAGGTAACTAATTGCTTTTCTCTTGCTGCTTTTAAAGTTCTCCCTTTGTCTTTAACCTTTGGCATTTTAATTATGATGTAACTTGGTGTGGACCTCTTTGGGTTTATCTTGATTCAGATTGCGCTTCCTGGACTTGTAAGTCTATTTCTTTCACCAGGTAGGGGAAATTTTAAAAAAGGTTTTCAATTTCTTGCTCCCTCTCTTCTCCTTCTGGCAACCCCATGATGCAAAATATGAATAAAATGGCAATAAATACATGTTTATCAACAATATTGAATCTAAAAATAAAAATAAACAACAAGGAATCTAATGAACAAAATAAACTAGTGAATAAAATAAGTAGCTGAAGCTACTTATCAGAATATCCCTTCCAACTCTATACACTGGGGAGCTGTTGATATCACCCTCTTTGTATCATCTGTAATGACATATCTTAGGTTACTCTGAAAATCCTACCAAATTTCTTTAATGTATTATATTTAGTTTAATTTTAGTAAGCATTTTTGAATTTTATTCTAGAAAATAGCTTTGGAGTCTCTCTATGTACACAGAATACCAATATTAAAAGAGATCTTAATGTTTAGTGAAATGGCCCATCTAATGCTGTACATCTAACAAAGTGATCCTGTAAATAAAGCATGAGTACCTTTGCAATGAGAAATTCACCAAGGGAGGGAATCCACTTCCAAAAGATTTGCTGGTTAGAAAAGTTCTTCGTTAGATTTCACTGAATCTGCTTTACCATAGAATTACCTACAGATAAACCCTAGTTTTACACAGTGGGATTTAAAAAATTCTCTTTCAAAATACCTTTACCCTAGTCTTCTGATTCAAATTTGGTGCCTTGTATGGCAAATCTTTAGCAACAGATCTTACCCTGGACCCTCTTGTATGTCCAGATAAGTGTAGGGTTCAGTGATAACAGAAACAGAAATTTTGCTTTTCAGAGAGGCAGTCTGGACATGACCTTCAGAATTCTAGGTTGCAGATAGTTCTGCTCCTTTGCTGAGGGGTACCTGTTTGGGCAAGTTTTAGATGTACTGAAATCTTTTCTAATCTCAATTTCCCACATAAAGTAATTAGGTAATAATAGCTGCTTTTCCATCTCATAATGTTTTTTTGAGAATCAAATGACAAACTGCTTGTAAAAATTGTTTATAATATTAAACATGTAATGGATATAAAGATAAGCAACATTTGCAGGTTATTTTCTTACTTGATTTTCAAATTCCCTACAATTTTGACACAAAACATATTATTACTTCACTTTAGAGATAAAGATAATAAGCTCAGAGAAATTAAGCAAAGACACTGTGTGCTGCTCTTGGGTGAAGACTCTGGGTTCTGCCCTGTCTCCTGCTGGGCCCTACAGAGCAAGCTATTTTCATCAAAGCCCTCCTGGCCTAGGCTGGGAATGTACACGAGACATGAGCAGCAATTGGAAAGCACTGTGAAAATATGTAAAGAATTTTTGTCCATTATGATTATATCCAGAAATGAATAATGGACAGTCAGACAGGATAAAATGGATGATTCTATTAATTTGACAATGGATCAACCTAACAGATCAGTAAAACCCAAAACTTAGTGCAAGGTAGAGTTAGGTTGTACTATTACTTAAAAAAAAAAAAATGTTACCCTGTTAGTAAAAGGAGGTATCTTCAACACTTATCCCAACAATTACTATGAAACAGCAATATTTTGGGCCCTAACCCTGACAGCTGATATCAAAAGATCTTCCAACACTGTGTTGACTGGCTTGTTTATTCAGTCATTGAAGGTGGGGTAGAGAGAGGGAAGTCATTAGCAATCAAAAGCTGTTTTATGTAGGTATTTCTAAGAGTTGTTATCTGGGAAGTGTTTCCTGAGTTGGACTAGTGGAAATCTTAAACAGTATATTTTAAATGAAGTGGTAGAGAAACACTGCGTTAACCCTTTCTAGAGTTATTCACTTTCTATAGCTGCAAAGGTAATCTTCAATTTTTATTCAATAGATCTCTTTCCATTCCTGTATTATCCCACTATCTTTTTATATAACCACACCACTACACATTTTTTTGCCTATGGTCAGCAACATACTAACTATAGTTTAAGAGTTAAGAGTATAGGTTTTCAATTCTGGCAGAATTAGATTTGAAGCTGCTCTCAAGCTTATTAGCTGTGTGATCTTGAAAAACTTGCCAACCTCTCTCTCTTTGCCTAAGTTTTCTCATCAATAAAATAGGAATAGGTATATAAAAAATTGTTATAAAGATCAAATTTGAAAATACATATAATGCTTTTTTCTTATCGTGGAGATTTTTTCAGGTTTATTGAGTCATATTTATTTATTTTTCATTATTATTGTTTTACTTTTAAAACATTTTTTTATTTTTAATTTTTATTTTTTCTAACAACAAACATGCAAAATTATTTCATTGATAAAGAATCAAAGATAATTAACTAGTTTGAACATACAGAGATAATAGATACTACTGGTTTTTTGGTTTGTTTTTACAAATGTCCCCTTTTTATCCCCATTGATCCCCTCCACCTTGTATCCACCCCACCCCCAGGCCTTCCCCAGACCAGTGTCTGTGTCCATGGGTTATGCTTATAAACATATAAGTTTTTTGATTAATCTCTCCCAGCTCATTCTCCCCTCCCCACCTTCCCTCTGAGATCCTTCAGTCTGTTTCATGCTTCTATGTCTCTAGATCCATTTTGTTCATCAATTTATTTTGTTTATTATATTCCACATATAAGTGAGATCATGTGGTACTTGTCTTTCTCTGACTGGCTTATTTCACTTAGCATAATACTTTCTAGTTCCCTCCATGCTGTCCCAAAGGATAAAAGATCCTTCTTTTTTACTGCTGCATAGTATTCCAGGTATAAATGTGCCAACATGCCTATTACTTCTTCAAAACCCTTGTGTCTTGTTGCCTTTTTTTTTAATGATAAGAAAACTTAGCATGAGATACCTTCTTAACAAGGTTTTTTTGTGTGTTTTTTTTTTGTTTGTTTAAAAATATATCTTTATTGATTTCAGAGAGAAGAAGGGAGAGGGAGAGAGAGAGAAACATCAATGATGAGAGAGTGATCATTGATTGCTGCCTCTTGCACATCCCCAACTGGGGATGGAGCCTGCAACCTGGGCATGCGCCCTGACCAGGAATGGAACTGTGATCTCCTATATCCTAGGTCGATGCTCAATCACTGAGCCACACCCAGCTGGGCACCTTCTTAACAAGTTTTAAGTGCACAATACAATATTGTTAACTATAGGTACTATGGTGTAACACAGATCTCCAGAATTTATACAGCTTGCATAATTGTCAATTTATATCCACTGAACAACTTATTTACTCTCTCCTTCACCGTTGGCATTCTATACTCTGCTTCTATGAGTTTGCAATTTTAGATACCTCATGTAAGTGGAATCATGCAGTGTCTGTCCTTCTGTTACCGACTGATTTCACTTAGCATGTCTTCCATGTTGTCACAAATGGCAGGATTTCCTTCTTTTTAAAGGCTGAATAATATTCCATTGTATGTATATTCCACATTTAAAAATCCCTTTGTTTGCTAGCAGACATTTAGGTTATTTATTGATCTTCGCTATTGTGAATAATACTGCAATGAACCTGCTGGAGGTGCAGATACCCTTTCGAGATACTGATTTTAATTCTTTTGGATATATCCCCAGAAGTGGGATTACAGGATCATTGGTAGCTTTATTTTAATATTTTGAGGAACCTCTATACTGTTTTCAGCATAGTGGTTGTCGTCAAAGTTAATGTTGGTTTTATTAGTGTTGTAAGTGTTTAAAAATATTTTTAACATTAATGATCATTTACAGATTCATATAACAATAATGTGAGCTAAAGATAACAACATTGTGTAGTATAAACAGCACATAA